TTATATCTAGTATTTGACGACTAAATATATCGAATAATAATCATATAAAAATATTTAATGAAATAAATAATAATTCTAAACAATCAATAATTTTTTTTGAGAGGGAAATAATTAACAGTTAATACTAATGAATAATTTATAATTAAAAATATATTAAAGATAGTTAGCTTCTTTAACTAACGTATAGGATTGGTTTGCAAAAGGCCGATCTGCAATCGTTATGCCATTCATAGTTTTAGTACAAGGACCAGATTCCAGCCGCGATCATTGTTTTGCTTCCCAAACAAATCTTTGCCATTTGTGTGTTTATAACCCAATTAACACACACACACTTCAGGAACCAACATTGTATCAAATTCCGGTAATAAACCTTGTATGAGACTCCCAGTACTCTTTATTTTGCTTTGCAACTTCAGCACCTTCTTCAACCTGTCTTTCCTTCCATTCTTTTTCAAACCTGCAAATGCCCCGCTGCTTCGTAGGATTCCTTTCAAGCGCAAACATGTACGGCTTTATTGCAATGTAATACGACTTACCGTCGCTTTAGAAGTAAATCCAATTCAGCCATCCGCACTGCATTACTAAATACTCCATCCTGCAAGTGCATACATACAGTAAAATTAGGCTCAAACTTGGTTCTAGTGATCATGCATAGTGTGAAGTATGTAGAACGCCTCGAGCCTTCATGGGACTACTATAGATCACCAAACAGAACAACTACATGACATGTAAGTTGAGCAATTAAGCTAAGATTCAACAATAAGTCATCTAAATGAGTAAAACACCTTCCTGTCCTATGCCTGAATCCCCTTGAATCTTATTAAGGCCGTCTTAACTTAATTAAAACGCACAAAAAGTAAATAATAATTTGTAAAATGTAGGTTGTTTTTCATAGGAAAGTATGAATCTCTTGTAGATACATGTTATAATTAAAAAGCCATACTAACCTCTCTGCAAACTGGACATTTCATCTTTGGGCTTGCAGAGTTAACCCCTTCAAATATCAAAACGGAACCTGCTGAGCAAGCACACGACTTGCAAAAGAGATGCCCACAGCTCAAAGCGTATGGATGAAAAACAGTATGCTGAAAATCAAGTAAGAATATTAATCCAAATGAATAGCAGAAAGAAACAATTAAAAAAATGTCTAATCTGTATACAAGATTAACTTGATATGCAACCATACCAAGCAAACAGCACATGTAAGACTGTATTCCAAATTTGCATAATTTGGAAGCACCAATCTCAGTACAGGTTCTGGGTCTAAAACATTGAGATCACAAGAGAAAGGAATGCAAAGCTCATAGCAGATCAAATGATTTGATTCACTGAAATTCATACAGAAAGCCATTAATTCAATTAACCAGGGTGATTGTGAAATCTCCAAGTGTTCAGCCTGCAACTTGGACTTGAAGTTCATGCCACTTGCAGAGTTGTGCACCTGTATAAAAAACATTTACAACAAATAGAACTCAAGAATCCAATAAGAAGAAGCAGTAGGAATTGAAGTGATATTGGCTTACTTTGTCATATTTCTTAAGAATTTTCCTAAGTGCTACCGCGTTCATGATAACATATTCAATTAACATCCGCCCCTCCATCACGAGTGCTTGTTGATCATTTTTGAAACACTGAAACAAGTGTAGTAAAAATCTCTGCATACCAGTAGTGCAATGAAGTTGGACAAGATGTCTGACCCGAGAACTAAAACAGCCAACAATATCAGAAGCTTCTTTCATTATCTCGGAGAAAAACATCCGATCACACCCTATAATGATAAACAAATCAGTAGTACGTGTGAGTCTCCGAAGTCCAAGTTAAAGAACAGCTAATAAACCAGCAATCACTTCATAAAAATTCAGGATTTACCACAAAATGTCTTGCATAAAATGGCATATACTCTCCATGATCTACAAATAACTAGAATTTCAGTGTGAACATCAAGGGGCTTTTTGTTCATTAACCTAAAAACAAGGATACATATTTTAAAACTATTTAGAAAACTTTGCTTAGAACATTAATATTTCACTAGTGCTACATAAATAATGGTGGTGTTCAACCATATTCGTAAAGATGTGGACTTGAAAAGCATCAGTCTTGAGAGAGAAATGCAATTCTTTTCTAGTTTTCTGGACAAACTAAGAACAGCCTTCCTTAAAGTGAAGAACATTCCGTTCAGCTACAAGGCACTCACACTTCAGGATGACTCATAAACAAGTAAACAACCAGTATAATGAACTAATGGTAAATTCTTGCACGATGTATATATATTTTCAATCCCTTAGTCAAGTCAACACATGCTTATCTTCGATCCAATTTGACTTTTGTAAGTACTAGATTCGATCTTGAAACTCGAAGTACAAATACAGACTGCGCAATATGATCAGAAACAACCTGCAGAAAATGTCTACCAATGTGATGCAAATGCATAATACTTTAAAGTTTTGAAAATATAGATGCTGCTCAATGTTTTGGTCTAAGCATCCTCCAAGATCACGTAGAGGAGCTCGTGTAAGCAGCCACTCAACAGCCTCCTTCAAACTACTTATGGTACACTTTTCACGAGATGTAATGTTTGTATGCGGCTGAGACCTCATCATCAAGTACATCCGGTCGCATCCACATTCAGTACATGTTTGGCGAGGAAGCCACAACAGGTAACTGCCTCTCACAGCCACATCACAGAAGGGTAGTTCTTGAACACAGGCGGGCTCCACCTCGCTTTTGCAGCTCACATGAGTGATCTCGGTACAGGAGCAATTTAAACGGGTTTCTGACCCCATTTCCCATTTGTTCCCATTATAGATTAAAATCCAAGAGAAGCTATCTTATAGGGTTTCATCTATTTGTGATCATCTTCTATTTAAGTAACTTTGCAACTCTCACCTGTGATTAGTATTGTCTATCTCTCTCCCTAGTGGACTTACACTTTCTCAGTAGTGACATTTTTATTTTGCTTGTTCTTGCTATTTTACACTTGGATCTTGGTTGTGGTTGTTATAGTGTGTCTAGAGTCATGGTTCACCTGTTGCTTGACCTTGAGAAGATATGAATACGACTAAAAAGACGATAAGTGGACTCATTATGTTTGATTAAAATAAAAGATTAGAAGACAAATGTATGATAGATAGCTAGAGAAAAAAACCAATTAAGGGGATGGAAACAAAACATACATTGGCAGGATTGATAGCGACAAATTGAAGTATTAATCTGACGATCTTCTTCTTCTTCTTCAACCTGGAAATCGCCATTATTAAACTCCCTGCAATGATGCCTACAGATTTTGAGAAGCTTCTTCAGCCTCTTGTAGTCGACGTGAGAGCATTTATTGAGATCAAACAAGCTGCTGTGCTCTTTCTCTCCGTGCAGATACTCCTTAAACGTCTCTCCAAACTTCATCTTGGTAAGAAGCAATTAAGCGGATAGGAAGGTAAATGGAGGTAGCAGCAGAATGAAAATATTTTAGAGCTTGATCATTAATGGAGGCGGTGGAATTAAACCCGAGAGAGAGAGAGAGTCCAATAGGAAATCAGTTGTACAGTGGTACTCCTCCGTGCAGTGCACGTGTCTTATAAACCCCTGCCAGTCTGCCATCTATTTAGTTTCCGAATAAAGTCTAGAGTAAGTTACATTTTTAGTCCTTGTGGTTTATTGAAAGTTACCTTTTTCCCTTAATTTAGCAATTAGCGTTTTTGTTATTTGTGGTTTTTAATTTTTTCCCCGGTTTTCGTCCCTTTAATTAACCTCGTTAAAAAATCCGTTAACTCGGGGCATTTGTCATTTAACTTTTATGTACTCTTTTATTTTCAGATCATATTTTATATTGGTATGTATATATGAATTGTATTATTAAATATTTCATGAAGGTACAAAGATCTTTTCTTTAACTTTTTTCTTGCTTTTTATCGCCTCCATGACTATCAAGCTTCATCGGAACCACCTTCTTCCTTCTCCTATACCCTATCATCACCATCCCTACTCCGTCGCCGTCAGCAATTTAACTTCACCAAACAATATCCAGTAATAACTTATCCGTAGCAGAAATCGGTTAAGTAGCATAATGACGTTTTACAAGGAAGATTAATCCCATTGTTCATGGGAATCATTTAGTAAATTAGGGATTTTTGATTTGCGATTATCGAAGGTGTCGTAATTCTAAGTTTTTGCTAAAATAAAAATTATAGTTGGTTTGGAGGTTTTCGCTATGCTTTTCAACTGAAACATAAGTTGTTAATAACGTGGAGATTGTTTAATCAATTTGCAATAGCAATCCATCTTTTTTTATTAACCTGGATATCCAACTCGCTATGCGAGCTGACTAATCCCAGGACGACCACCTACCTTGCAGATAGCCCGAAGTCACCGTATTTGAACCTCCGTGGCCACTAGAAGATTTTTATTTCTCATTGGATTTGAACCTGAGACCTCCTGGTACTTTTGACCTTTGGAGCCAAGTTCAAACCAATAAGACACCACCCTTGTGGTTATCCATTTTAAACACTATTGTCACCAAGTGACCTTCAAGAGCTATGTTACTTGATCTTTGATCCAATATTATACTATATGTTGCAAATTCTCCATTGCCAATTGGTGTAAATAATTAAAATTGGCGTGTTTATAAATTAGATTGATCGGGTTGAAGATATTTAAACAATTCAATCCAATACTTACGGTTTGAAAAATCTTAACCCAACTCAACTCAAACCAAAGTGCAACCCAAACCAACCCAAACCGTACAGGTTGGTCGGGTTGATACTTTGGTACATTGAAATATTATTTTACCTTGAATATGTTATTTACATACTCATAGTTTTTTTCCATTATCAACCATTTGATACAACTTATCCATATTTCTTACGTATGTTCACAATTACTGAACATATATATGAATAGATTGAAAATATGTGTCTATGAAGCGCGTACATGATAGTGTAATTGTCTAATGTGTATATTAATAAAAAAATCAATAAATATATTAAATCCAATAAATAAAATGATATCGGGTTCATCGAATTAAGTTAGATTCAAATAATAGTAACTCAATATCAACCCAATACCTACGGTTCAAAAATTTTACAACTTGATTAGATTGCTTCAGGTTAATTTATTCCGTGATGGGTTAAGTTGATCGAGTTGGTCGGATATTTTAGCACCCCTGATTACAAGTGCGTTATAAGGGGCAACTATGGGATGTGTTGGTGGTGTCACCATACGGGGCCTTCGGTTTTATTAAGTTCTTATAAATAATAAAGTTAAAATATACGACAAATACTATGTTAATTTATTTGGTCAAGAAATTTAATACATTAATTTAAAAAAAAAGTTTTACAGTTGAGTTGATATAGAATGGATCGCTTATTAGAGAAATAAATTTATCATGCTTATAATTTTTTTAACAAGTTATAATTTTTGATTGCATCATGTAACTATATAATTTCTTAATAAATTTTGAAACTATTATTATATAGTTGTTTACCGTTATAAATTTAATATTTTCTAAAATCTAATTTTTAATAATGAGGAATGTAACTTATCTTATGGTAACTAACGTGATAAAAAAAATAGTAAATTATGTATTTCGTCATTGTGGTATATGAAAATTACGGATTGTGTCTCTAACCCTAAAAACTACAGATTAGGTTACTGCTTTTTTATTTCCATTATGGATCAAGTAGTTTGTCCTGAGCCTGTTAAGAAATTTATGTTAAGTTAGGAGTATTTAAGTTTTTTTTATAACATTTTTGTTTCATTGTTTAAAATAAATATAATTTATACGTATATGTTAAAGACACACACATATATAATGTTACCGACTTACTATTTACTACTTCCTTCATTTGTCATCGACCACCACCATCTTCGGCCTCCTCCCCATTTGTATTCCTCATCTTATCACCCCTTTCTCCATATCTAAAAACTAAGCTACACCCATTAAACCCAATCTTGAAGATGCACTCTATACGGTAGCCAATTTTGTATCTGATACCTAGATCTCGACGTGATGTGTATGTGTGCTAGAGTTAGATTGGGTTGTGGCTTTAAATTGGGTTTTTGGTTTCATCAATACTGCTTTTAGAAAACAAAATCATCCACTATGCGTAAGTGTATAATCGGCTTACTCTACTATCATTAACAAAATAAAAAGAACGAACTTGTGTGTGTGAGAGCTACTTTGAGTTTGATTTTGATGTGTTTCAATTATTTATTCCGAGTTTCCTAGCTTAGGGTATGGACTTGGGCTCATTTGGTGTATGTGAGTGTGTTATGGTATGTGTATGTGTATGTGTATGTGTGATGGTCGAATATGCGGTAGTTAATCAAAGAAGATGACCGAATAAGGAAAGGAGTTCGATTGGTTTGACCGGAGAAGGGAAAGGGGACTAGGTGGAGACATCTAACACCAATTAACTAAGTAGTTTAAAATAAATTTCAATTAATAAAAAAAAATGTTATTGACTTAACTATATTTTTTTTTAACAAAGCTAACACATGTCCTTTGCAAAAAAAAAAAAAAAACAACAACAAAACTATCAAGGAAAATTAAAATATGCCAAAAAATACGTATAAAGTTGTCTTTACCAGTAGATCGTGTTAATTCTTTGGAGATTTTGTTATACATGTATTTAAACTATAGATTATATGAAATGAGTAATAAATAAAATAAAATATAAAATGACAAAGTAAGAAGGCGTTAAAAAATCATTTTTTTAATCGACAAATTTTGAAATTAAATAGATTTTTACTTAAATGAATTTAATGGTTGAAAAAAAAGGCGAATCTTGTTTGTTTACCTCTTAATAGTTCCATTAAGAGTCAACTTTCCGAATCATTAAGAGGTGAATATTGTTTGGTAAAAAAAAAATTCTGCTGCTTAATGGTTTTAAAACCTTCTGAATGATTTTGTATCATGGATCTCCCTTAATCATTAAAAGCCCTAAGTTTATTGTACATAATTACCAAACAATTGTATTTTATTTTACACTATATCATGAAAGACTCTTAATCATTGTGACAATTTAATCGTTCTACCCAAACTATTTAAGAATTGTCTATGTAAGATACACCTCAAACATGTTTAATAGACGGTCTGATTGACGGATAGTTACTGAAATTTTGAAGATAATAAATAAATAAATGTCATGTTATTATTTTTATTGCGACAAAATTGAAGCTTGTTGGGTTTTATGCATAAATTAGGGCGCCAAATTACAAGATCCGCCAGATCGAGACGAAGGATTTCAGTTCCAAAAAGTGTAAAGGGACGAAAACCGTTGTGATCAAAGGAGCCAATCAAATCCATATATTGATTTTATCTTCTCGATCAATTCGTCAATAATCTCGGTACGTGCGACGATAATTTCCATGTACGAATGCAAAAATGTGTTTAGTTAGATTGTTTCCACTTATAATTTCCACAACTTTATAGATTTGTGTTGTGATTTTTTCTTTATTGATAGAATTGATGTCCTTCGCCTTCTGGAGACATGAATTAGGCAAAATGTTACAGTTAGATTTTGGTAGCTAAAGGGGATAGAGGGTCTCTTTTTTACTTCAATCGATACGAATTCTTTATTATTGAGAAAGAAGAAGTGAACCGAATTGGACTAATATCTACTACAAATATGACGATGTTGGTGTTGAATTTTGCCTCAAAATCTCCATCAATCTTGCATTTTAAAGCACCGGGTTTGAATTTAATAGTTAGAGTTGTGTATTTTTGTCGAATAGAGGAAGTGATATTGGATTTGGTTGTAGCCGTAACCTGCAAATGTACGTACAATACAACTGATTTTGGCGAGTATTGAATGGTTATATGATAAAAGCAATCCGAACAGTTGGATACGAATTATGGAATTAGAGTCGGAAGTCATTGTTATTTGCTAGTATTGTTTAAAGATCTTGATCACATGATGCACGAATGATGCTAGCTCTAATTTTGCAATGCATGTAATATGACTGTAGTTTGTCTGAACTCTGAAGTGACATTATATTTATTCACATAGTTTGACTTGATTCCTGTGGAACTTCTCTGAATAATGTGTTCACATAGACGACCAATATGTCTTGCATTGTTCAACTATTATTATGACTTTTGTTTCATATTTTGCTCTTAAGTTTTGGTTGTTAAACCGTAAAACTATAAGAACATGGTCCTATCCTAGTGTCATGGCTCGAGCATTTTGAGTACAAATACGATGTAGGCTTCACCCAGATGCCCACTTGGTACATACAATAAGCATTAAGCAAGGAAGAGCCAAGAACATCCTAGAAGTCGCTAAAATGCTTTAGGAAAATCTAGTGTTCTACATTGGATTCTAGGACTCTCTTGTATTTTATAATCATTGTTGAGGCTTGTAGTCTTAGGAAGCAATGTAGTAGAACCTAGAAGTTTTTTGTTTAGAATTTTCCTCAAAGGTGTGCAAGTGCAACACCCTCAAAGAGGGGTATCCCTTCTCTTTTTTAATCATCAAATGAGAAAGCCTGTCTAAGAGTTATAAATATAAACTTATAAACTAATTAAGTGTTCTACCTCTTTTTGTGTTCTCCATAGGAATCTAGCATTCATGCAACTGAGCATCAATTGTTGTCACTAAGGCTGAACAGAACTTGGGAAGTATCTGAGACCAGGATGAGTTAATCTTTTCTTGCAATGCAAGAACATGTGGGAATTAAGATCCGCGAAAAATTTGGCTCTTTTGTATTTTGTAGGTTATGATAAGATATTTGCAGTCGGCTAGTTGCTAAGTGCAGCACACACACATATGTATATATTGATGCATCTGTGCTTTGATTTTTTTTATCTCAAGGCCTAGTGGAGATGGTTTTTAATTGTTCCTTATGTTTTTGTTTGATTATTTATATTTCTTTTTTATGGATGATAGAATTCAAAAATTAGACTGAAAGTTGAATCTTAGATGAAGGATGCTTGGTCAAACACGAGTTGTTATCAACTACTATTACTTGTTCATATTAATGGGTTAAAGTTGTGATGGAATCAAAGTAATTATTTCTTTAAACCTTGAAATTGCGAAAACTGAAAGAACAATATTCTCTGCCACTAGTATTTGCTTCTAGGAGTTGAAAAACTAAGCTTCTTATCTGACAATGGAAACACATGGAGTCAGTGGTAACTGTAGTCATCATTTTGTGCAAAGTTAATTGGAAGATCCAAATGGTTACATGCATATTTTCTATGATTGATAACTCCAGAAACATCACAATACTATGAAAGTCAGTTGATTGTGATCGAGATGGAGCTTTTGTTTGGTAAAAGAATTGATTCATTCATCCGAGATTGTCTGACATCAATTAAATTACTAGCAGAACATCCTGCCTTCTCTAGAAAACCTTCATCAAATAGTAAGCTGCTTGCCACTCTATTGACGATTATTTAATGCAAGAAAGATGGCATCAGCTACATCTAAGGTGTTGCCGATAATGACTCTTGTGATATTGGCTATGGATGTGGTCTACATTGTTTGCATCTGTTTAATCAGAGAATTTTAAAAGTGATGGAACCCTAAAGATGGGGGATCGAGGTGTAGGAAGTGTTGGCCAAAGTTATCAAGATGTACATCCACACAAAAATATAGCTTGGACAATGATGGATCAAGTAGTGTTTTACACACCATTTATATTTTCTTTCTCATAAGTTATATTTTTCTTTCTTAAACATTCAATGATGTTTCATATGAAGACTATGATCCTGTTGCATACATCTTTAGTAACCAGCTTATTTGGAGAGGATCTTAGCTGGATCCCAAGTGATAAATATCTTTAAACTAATATATTGATCTTTGACGCATCATCTGCACCATTTAACCCTTTTCGTCACATTGGTCTTTCTTGTATCAGCAAGTATTTCCTGCCGGCAAATCTTTCTGACTGTATAACGACAACATCATGTTCACTCAAATGGACATGGAAAAGCTCTAAGAGGCTTGTGATTATAATATATCTTTTACCTTCTCAAAAGTTTGATTCGTGTTTGTAAGGATTTCAAATGGTTTGCAGGTTACCTATAAGTTCCATTTTTCTATGTTGGGACTTGGCAGCTGTTTAAATGTATTATAAAGGCAGATATAAGTTTGTCCAATCTCTAAAACTAAGTGAAGCAGCATGCATGGATCCTACCAGTTCAGTACACTGTGGAGGACACATAGTTGTTAAATGGTTTCATTTTTTTATCTCAATATTTCAGAGATAAAAATGCAATACAAGTCTGTAATTGATTTTCTGTTCAGTCTTGTGAGTTCGAACCTATGATTCATGCAATTATGGATGCGGTTACTATCTTACATTAGGTCACAAGTTTTTTGCCTTGATGTTTGGTATTTTCTCAAAGCAGGTCTTCAAGTAAATGGCGAAACTGAAGCTGAAGCAGCCTCCAAATAAAAATTGTACTCCAAGTGGCCCTGACATGGAGAAGTGCCTACAAGACGGTTGGGTTGTTGTCAAGAAGCAAAAAGTTACCATCTTGATCCCAGCTTTACCCATCCCGGAACACTGCACAATGCCTAACCCAGCCAGAAGTCCATCGCAGCCGATACCCACCAAAGAGGTTGATCATATTACAGCTCCACAGCCGGATCCACCTGTCAACATAGAGAAAACCATGCCATTGGCCACCGTAAAACCCATCACAACATTTTCCAACCCACCAAAGCTGAACCATAGAGCTACACCAGGAAACCTACTTAAGGATGAACCCAATTGTCATAGAACACTTGGGATTTGCAGTGCCCCAAAAGCAAGAAAACATTGTGGAAATTTGCTCAATGGGCACATGTTGGTGAATTCAAAGATGAGGGCTTTGAATCTTGAGAGAAAGCTTCAGAGAGCAGGTGGGCTGAACAATTGGCTGGTGTCTCTTGGACTCGGTCAGTTTGTGAAGATTTTTAGGTGCAGACATGTTGGCAAGGTGCAATTGGTGAATCTGACAATGAAGAAGCTGAAAGATATGGGTGCAGATGCAGTTGGGCCTAGAAGAAAACTGATGCATGCTATTGAATGCCTCTGGTAAACTTGAATGTGCAAAACTTTAAATATGTGACAAGATCAGAGGTACCAAGTAAGAACACGTTATTACCTATAATGTCGTATTGACGATAACTGCTCCTGATATGTCGTACAAGGAGATTAACATTTATGTGAGCAAATTCTTTCGTATATCATCTCCCTCATACTTATCATTTCTTTCGTATGCCGCGCTTTGGTCTAGTGGACTGGTATCATGGTGCTTTCTTACATTGTTACCCATATAACTAACACATTTTGATGGTTGTTTTCTACTTTTCTTTTAAGTTTTCAACTGAGATAATTTGTGCCCGTAATTTTTCGGACCAGGATTGGTGTTAACGGGTCGAGACTGCTGTCACAAACATTTGATTGTGTTAGAACATATCTGAATTTGTATTGGACAATTTGCACGAATTGCTTGTTTTATTGATCTGGGTTCACAACATCACTTTCGACCTATAGTACTCAAATGCTGCAACTTTTATTGGCCAGAGGAAGCATACTATATTTTTCTTTCCCACAAGATGTGTAGTCATCTTTATTGTGCAACCTCCGAGGCTCATAGCAGTGATTCATCTTGAAGCCAAAAGATTTTACTATAGGAGGTTTATACAAATTACATGTGGTGGTTGGGTTATAATCAAATTCAAAAGGGTCTGTGTTTTAACAAGTTTGTATCCTGTTTTGTCTTCTTTTACCAGAGTTCTAGGTACATGTGACGTGTCAACAGTACAAAAATCTTGTTTGAGTAGATTATTTTTGTTTGATTGTCCCTGATGCCCAAACACGCACATTAAACATTCTAGTGAGATCATGATTTCATTGAGGAAATCTTCTTGAATGACGACACAATAAAAAACAAAGAAAGTTAGTGGAGATAAGGCAAAGCAACCCACATAAGAGATGAAAGAAAGTGAATGGTGACACTATGAGTCATTGAAGCCCTATAGAATCGTGAAACACCCATTTTGGTATGATCAACTTATGGAATCAAAGATGGAAAGAAAAAGAAAAAGGAGAAGAAAGCATTGGTGTGAGAAGGTGCCAATTAGAGAGGCATCTTGATGAAGCAAGAGGGCAAAGAAAAAGTTGGAAGGATGGGCATAACAAGATTCCATTCATGAAATAAACAAATATATGCAGAGAGTAGAAAGTTGCAGTAAGTAATGAACATCGATATGGTGGAGCACTATGAGTGAACATTCATTTGTCATTGTTTGCCTACACCACTTTTGTTTAATTATTAAGAGCATCTTTCATGATTGATATCATTTCTGTGTTTTCAATCTTTTTCAGGTGTGAAAACATGTTGTCCTCATTGCATCAAAAGGTAATGCTTTTCCAACTCACCACACCCTTCATCCAAATCCAATTCCAACCCCTTTTTGTGCTTCCATGTCCTTTTGTACCTGCTGTATGGATGCATGTTACATGATTTTTAAGTAATACCTATCTAACATATATGCTGTAAATTATGTTTTTTAGATGTGGTATGACTAAAACAGTGAATTGCTCAAGATTTATGCAACAATCATTGATTCATTAGTTATGTAGAAATGCATCTAAAGATGTTAAATGAGTATTAGGCATGTGGGAAACTATATCCAAGAGGTTTTTAGTGGCACTTTAAATGCATTTGCATCAAAAATAGATAAGAGACTCCCATGATTGTTATGGCTTAAGGTGCCCGTAGAGGGATGACAAAGACGTGTGGGGCGTAGGACATTTCCGCATATTCTACCTGTTATACTATACCATACGTATATCATCTATATGTACATATAGTTAAACCTGACCTCACCTCTTAATGGGATTTACTGAGCTTGTCTGGTTTAGAGGGTGTGTGTATATATATATATATGTATATATAAAAGGAGATTCATAATGAATTGATTCTTGAGAAAACATATATGTGTATATATATATAGTCGCAAGCAACATTGAAAAGAAATCAAGAAAAAGTCTCTAGTCGTCCATTGAATTGTAGTGTGACTAAGACCTTTCACCCACATATCGTTTTCCCTTTTTCTCTAATGATGATAGTTGTTGTCATTAAGAACAAATACTATCAACAAGTTGCTAATAACTAATCCTCCTTTTTTGTTTAGAATATGCTTTTGCTAGCTCCAAAAGTTACATTTGACATCAACAACTTTTGACTCATTTACTCGCTTTCTTTTTCCCTCTTGCGCTTTATTAGCCCATCACGGTGCCCATTATTTTCAGTAGATATATAAATAAACAATCTCGATGTTGAGTTTGTAGTTGATGGACTTGTACGAGTTCTTGTACTACTTCATGTTGAATCGAATCAACAATCTAAACATATGATGAAAAGGGTTTTTTTTTTTTAAATGAAATGATGGGCGTTGGATGCGTTTGATCGAGGCTATCTTCGATCAATATATCCGACAACTTACCGGCTTCAACGACTCTAGAAGTCGAGTGCCGGTTATCCTTCCTTACATGGCTTTATGTAAGAGGAGTTGAATTTGTAAATTTTATTTTGAACGAGAACTTTTAATTCTTAATCAACAATATAAAATTATAAGATAATATAAAAAGTAATTTTGAATTATATTTTTAGGAGAAAGTAACAAATATCAAAGGCTAGAATCGTTTGTTTTTATATATGATAGATATTTTTACTATTTTGTAAGGAATATAATAATTGACATATAAATGTTAATTTTGAATAGGTTCTCTCTCCAAAATTGACAAGATTTGGGCCTGCTTTCTTGTCTTGTGGACCGAATATGGACATATTATATATATATATATATATATATATATATATATATTAATTATTGTTGTCTATTTACTTAAATAAACATAATATTTAATTATTATATTATATGGTTTATTACAAAGACAAAGAATAGTGTGAAAACATAAGTTACAACACGAGATTTGGATTCTTGATCATTTTTAATCTTATATTCATAATATGAATTGTACTTGATACGAGAATTGATCCGTTGCATATCAATGCATCTTATTACTGTTGATTATCAATTATGATTGATATAAAGATGAATATCATTTCTTATACTTCTTATCATAACTTTCATTCTTATTGGAACTCAATCTTATTATAAATTATTATAATTAAATATCTTATTTATAAAGATAAAACATTTAAGACATGGATACATCATGATCGAATTTTTATTAGGTAAATTTGAATTCTAGCCAAAAATCTCATAACTAAAACCTATTATTATTTTTGTATAATAAACATGTCATGGTTTAATTAAAAAAGGAAGTTATTTAAAAAAAAAAAAAATCAAATATCTGTTTGGATTGTGATACATTGGTTAAGTCTAATAGGAATATAATGAAAGATATCATATATCTTGGGTTCGAATTCAAACGCTATTACAATCTTTATGACCACTGCGATTCATTTACAACGACTCCATGTTATTCATAGAGTTTTCTTGATACGTTAAGATTAATCTTAAAACTCACGGTTGGAGGAAAAGAAAATCAAACTGATAGATTTATTCTGATGAAAAATATTTAATTTTTATTTTTTCAAGATTTTCCGTTTGGTCATAAAAAGACAAGAATAAACATCCAGCTAACACCTCCCACATCACTATCATGGGTTCCCATTCTTTTGTTCTTTCCAAATTATCATTCATTCTACTTGTAATTTCTTTATCTATCTTTTTTAACTCAATTAAACAAAATACAAACATGTTTTATCCCAACAACATACGAAAACGACATCATTTCATCTCCCCTCTCTCTCTCTCTCTCTCTCTCTCTCTCTATATATATATATATATATATATATTGTAAAAGGACATCAATCTGACGAGGATTATGTTATTTATAGAATTTTGTTTCCGTATATCGATATCTGACTTTTTTTTCTTTGGCTTCTGTAGTTTAAGCTTTTTCTGTTAGTGATGTGATTGGCAATGTTTGTTTTGCATGCATCCAAGAGACGTTATATTTTAAACCTGATTTGTAGAGTTACAAATCCGGTTGAGATCGGTTTTCGATCAATTAGGCTTAAAATTTTAACGATGGATATGACTCACAACGAAAGATAATAGGATTATATTTTGTGAGACCCAAGAGTAGCAAGAAAGTACAAGTAATTTATGCAAATAAAAAATGGGACACTTCACCCCGACAAAATTTTAGATACTCCATGTACGTTTTCTGCAACACCCTCATGGATGCATTGTAGTGTTGTACACTTTCCATCACCTCTCTATAATATAAACCTTTCTTCAATTCCTCCGCCGTTTCAACCACCATCGCCGTCGCGCACGGTGTAGATGGCGCACACTCTCCATACCAATCTTCCAAAATCAACCACCATTTTTACCTCCCCTTCATGCACCTTCGTCTTCATCATCACTCTCTGCATTATCTCTCTCTACACCCTCCACCACCACCACAACCACCAGGCTCCTGCCACACCATCCACGACTGCCCAACACCCACCATTGATCTCTGCTTTTCTTAACTCTGGGTCCAATTACACCATCTCTAACTATCTTCGCCACCTTACCCTTCATCCCCATCTCGCCGGTACCCCACCCTCGTCCGCGGTCGTCGATTACGTCAAGACCCACTTTGAATCCTTCCATCTCCAAACCCACGTCACTGACTATTCAGTACTGTTATCGTACCATCTCCACTCATCACTCACTGCGCACTTTAGCAACACTACCGCAGCCGTCCCGCTTCCGTTGACCGAACCAGGCTTAGATTCCGACTCTGAAGTCGTCAAACCCTACCACGCTTACTCACCATCCGGGTCGGCGTACGGTAAAGCGGTGTACGTTTACCATGGCAGGGAGGAGGACTATCGTGCGCTGGCGTCGGCTGGCGTCGACGTAAAGGGTTGTGTAGCTGTTGCGAAGAGAGGCGGTGGGATGTCGAGGAATGCGGTTGTGGCGAAGGCGGCGGAGAAAGGCGTTTTGGCGGTGGTTATGTATACCGACAATAACGGTGGTGGGGTGGAGAGGGGGACGGTGTTAGATGGTGTTGGCGACCCAATGACACCTGGGTGGGCTGCAACTGGTGGAGATGTAGAAAGGTTAGGGGTGGAGGATAGTGAGGTGTTGAAGAGGTTCCCGACCGTGGCCTCATTGCCGATATCGGCGGAGACGGCGGCGTTGATTTTGGAGTCACTGGAGGGGGCCAGGGTGACCCATTTGTGGAAGGATGTTGACCTTGTGGGGAAATTGGACAGGGTTGGCCCTGGACCAACTTTCTTGAATTTCACATACCAGGTTTCTTTTTCATTTTCTTGGACCACTTCATAGTACTCTTCTTCTTCTTCATCCATCACTTTCAAATAGAATTTGTCGGATGTTGATTTCTTCTTTCATACTTACCATCTAATCTCAGGCAATTTTTGATTACTGGTTGGTTGTTTGGTCAATGAACTTGGCTGATTTGGGGTTATGTCTGCTAATTGCTACCATTACAAGTCCGAATATCTGATTCGGGTATTCAAGATTTGGATTGGGAATTCCATTGTGGCTGCAGCTTGTTATGTCAGGATTGATGATCATGTTAGAAACCGTGGGTTAGGGTTCGTGAGAAATCAATAGAATTGGACTTGGATGGTGTACCAATCACTGTCCGTATGTAATATTTCGACCCTATAAACGCCTTGGGTATTACGAGAGGATGATCCAAATTCACACTCATGTTTTTAGGCAGAAAAATGAGAGACTGACACAGAGATCTTGTGAAATTCATATGTAAAAACGAGAATGAAAACACCTTTTAAAAGTAGTCCTTTTTCGGGGAGTTATCTGAGGTTACAAGACAATTACATAGCAGCTAAGATCTATTAGCGTCATCAATGAGCGAACTCGCATTGATCATCAGTGAGCGAGTTCACTCATTGATGATCATTGATCATCAGTGAGCAAGTTCGCTCATTGATGATCAGTTTCCAAGCATTGAAACTTCAAACACTGAAAGTATGCAGCTGAGCGCTGCCCCTTGAACCCCGCCATTGATGACATCTGGCTATTCTGGGTTCAAGTTGCTTTTATAAGTGTGCATTCTGCACCTCCAGCTTAACCGGAGCCCCTTTATTCTCTTGTAAATCCAGTTACACCAAAATGGCCAAATGACACTAAAATCACCCACAGACAACACGAAGTAGCTAGCCATTATGAATGTGGAAGAGAAGTTTCTTCTTTCCTCTTATATTGCATGTGTAATGAGTTCCTATTTTAACTTTTAGGGGGAGAACAAGATGGCAACAATCCAAAATGTATTTGCTGTTATAAGGGGATCAGAAGAGCCTGATCGGTTTGTGGTGCTTGGCAACCACAGGGATGCATGGACTTATGGAGCCGTTGACCCGAATAGCGGCACCGCTGCTCTCATTGACATTGCTCGTCGATATTCTCTAATGATGCGCATGGGGTGGAGTCCTCAAAGGACAATCTTTCTATGCAGTTGGGATGCAGAAGAATTTGGGATGGTAGGTAATATTCTATTTTTACTGATGACTAAAACGTATCGTTGATTCATGTTGCATATGGCTCTCTGGACTTGTTTTTAAAAAGCATCAATATATTTTTGTCTAGACAGCCAAATTTATCTAGACGGAGCACAAAACAGCTTAATCCGTACAGGGCTTAATGGAAAAAAAGTAAACAGCCCCTTGGGTTAATTACTAAAAAAAGATGGTTTATTTGGTGGTTTCAGATTGGATCTACTGAATGGGTTGAACAAAATCTTGCAAATCTGGGGTCCAAGGCTGTAGCATATATCAATGTGGATTGTGCTGTTCAAGGGCCTGGATTTTTTGCTGGTACGACGCCTCAGCTAGATGATATTCTTGTTGAGGTTACTAAGAAGGTATAGAAGAATTTGGTGGATAGTGCGGAAATCATGAAATGGATTCTTATGAGCCAAGTCATCTTGTTGCATTTATATCGGGATCAAGTGAATAGTTTGAACTGTTGATGTTTTGATATGAATCTTTTATATAAAATACCAGGTTACAGATCCCGACTTCTCGGATTCAACGCTCTTTGAGAAGTGGAGAACCAGCAGTGAAGTCCCTATGGTATGTTTTATGCCACATTTTCTATGATAATTAACGACCAAAAGTAGTTCCTAAGCAGCATAATATACTTGATATCACATACCATCTTGCTTGTTTTTCCACAAGTATACAATCAAAGGTTGAGTTTGAACAGCCACAAGTATATAATTCATTTTGTGGAGTTGTAGATCCAGAGACTCAGTGACGTATTTTCTGACTTCGCTCCGTTTTTGCATCATGCTGGGGTTCCTTCTATTGATCTGTACTATGGCAAAGGTACAGCTCTTGTACCATTTATCCTAGGATGCATTTAGGCCATTAATACAACACCGTTAAGCAATGAGAAGAATTGAATCTTATGGACCAAAACCAATTACCATTGTCAATGTTTGAATCTTTTCTAGATTTCCCTGTTTACCACACTGCTTTTGACTCCTATGACTGGATGGTTAAGTATGGAGATCCATTCTTCCACCGTCACGTGGCTGGTTAGCTTTCTTCTCGTCTCTTTATGCACTATTAACATTCTCGATGTATCGTCATGATTTAATGGGAATTGGTTTTCTTTCTCATTTTGTGACGTTAGTCGCTTCTGTCTGGGGGTTGCTTGGACTACGCTTGGCTGATGATCCTATCATTCCTTTTAACTATCTTTCATATGCACTTCAGTTGCAGGTACTTGTAATCTTTCTCATTAAATTGCAATGTTTTTACTTGGCATATGGTTTAAAACAAATAATTCTTGTGAACCACATGAATACTCGAGTTTTCTTGAATTCTTGTACACCGCTTGGAACATTTTGTGGATGTGCGGACGCTTTTTCATTTTGTTTGTTAATTTTACAGAACCACACAGATTCATTGTACAAACTGTTGGAAGGGGATGATGTCTCTTTGCATCCTATCACATCCACAATTCAAGAACTTGAAGATGCAGCTAAACAAGTGGAAGATGAAATCAAGGTTTTTCTTCTTATGTGCGAATGGTTTTTCCTTGGGTAGTGTGTTGTTATCTGATTTAATTTGTTTTGCAGAAAATGAGGGAGGAAGAAAGCGAAGGTCGTGTTTCAGTTATGAAGAGGCGCATATTGAATGATCGTTTGATGTTGGCTGAAAGAGGCTTCTTGGATTCAGATGGGATAAAAGGAAGGCAGTGGTTCAAGCATCTTGTAAGTATAGGAGGACTTATTATTAGTCAAATGTCTTAAAGTGTCCCTGAACAACTAAAAGATAAGGTTAAGCCTTGGATATAATGTTGTAGGTATATGGACCGGCTAGCGAGAGTAAACTGGGATTCTTCCCAGGAGTGGCAGATGCTATTTACGAGTCAAAAGAGGGAAAGAAGCAGCAGGCAATGATCCAGCATGAAATCTGGAGGGTTGCTAGGGCTATCCAAAGGGCTGCAGCTGCTTTGAAGGGTCAACTCAACTAACCCCAGTATATATGAAATGATACAGAATCCGTTTTGTGTTTTTATTTGCTCCAGTAATCAAGAATGTTGCCCATTGACATAGTTAGCCATGGTCTTTGATCTGTTGTTCATCTTCACCATCTAAAGTTTTGACAGGCCAAAACATTTTGTATCCAAGCTATCAGAAAATCATATCCACCAACGTTACTTGTTGCCAAGATCATTGACAGGGACTAAACTGTAACTATACATAGCCTATCGAATCGAATCCAATGGATGTAGTAAAATTGGACAATAAGCAGTACAATTGTAGTAGTAACTCTTTACAGATCCCTCTCCTCCTCCAAAGCAGCTTGTACACTCAACCAACAAAATCTTCCTATGTACTTGCTCTACTCCTAAATTACACCCAACACATCACTTGTATCAACAGTAATAGTACTCACTCCAAAAAGAATACCAACAATCACAAAATATATTCTTGCTTCTTTACATTTCTAGTTGTATATTTTCACTGGCTTCTCATATGTGTGACGGTTCTGCACAACAAACATCAATCATCATAATTTTGTTTACACCCAACCAAATACCCAATTCAGGGAGAGAAGAATAGATTTTACCTGATTTGCTGTAAAGGGCCTTTTAGGGGTGGTGTCTGAGTGCTCCAACCCAAGGTACTGCTCCCAAGCACCATACACATCTCTTCTCTGGAAACCCGATTCAAAACATATGTGAACTAGTTGCTCAACAAGTAAACAAGTATCAATGAGAATGTGCAATTATGAACCTGAAAACGGCTAGATACAACATCTGAATCTTGTAGATACTCTGGACGTCCCAGAGACAGAAATGCAAACTTCCACTGAAGAGAAACGCACAAGTCAAATTTCACTGGTAATTATAAGAGGTGGTTTCATTACAAGTAGTCTAAAGAAAGAACTACCTTAGAGAATTCGTCATCAGGAACCTCCAATTTCCTCTGGATGCGGACTTTAACATCTTCTAGAGTTTCATTTTCACGAATTATCAGAAAGAAAGGCTCCCCAAAGTTTTGCACTTGCTGTCAAAGATAATAAGGAACGGTAATTCAACGATCTTCAGAAACATAGTGACATACACCAAAAAGGTAGGTAGAATAACAGACTACTCAAATGTACCATTTGGTTCAGTGCAGCCTCTTTGGTGAAGTGGTAAACATGAATCAAGCGATCTTGTGGTCCAAGGTTCTTCTCTTCTTCCGGGATCTAAGGTAAACAAAAGTAAATACCAAGCACATCAGTACTGTGTCAGATCAATTTTCTTGTTCTCCAACCAACCACTTTGAAAAACTAGACATGTAGGAAGACGTAATAACAAACAACAGGAAACTGAAAAAATTGCTCAGAAAGCTATAATAAAATTCAGAAAATGGTAAATGGAAATTTTCTCCAAAGTGTTCTTGTTTTCACACAGTCGCGCTTTAAGGTTCTAGGGGAACGCTTTCATCATATCCTGCTTTCAAGCAAAGATTGTTGCATCGTATGCAATTCTGTCCATGAGAAATGCATTTTTGGATAGTTCTCTATTTTTGTTCTACCTTCTACTCATTCTTGATGATTCCCTTTCATGTTTCATGTGTGTTCATGAAAACTGTACGAACTAATATAATGAGTGCCTTTCTAACAGATATATGCAAACTCTGAAAGTCCCCATCTATGTAACCACAATCTACTACTGACACTCTGACAGCAGACATCCTCTTGAAACACATCCTGCGAAGGTGACTAATTTGACTTCAATGCAAACAGCAGAGTAATTGTTACATGTGGTTCTGAATTCCTTTTCTCACCTGTCTCCCATTTTTTTTGCAAGCAAGGTCTGCATACATCCCCCGAATACCCCACCCCGGCGGGCACCCTACCTCGGTTCAGTACTGTGCTATTTTGTATGGGCGTCTACAGAACATCAACCTAGTATCTTGAAATTTGCATGCTATTGCTCGAAAGAACATGTTTCATGCTACTGCTCGAAAGAATAGCCCAGAAAAAATATAAGCAAACTTACTTCCTCGGCACGTAATGTCCAGTACTGATCATTTATATTTTCAATTTTCTCGGTCAATGGAAAGATCTGCAAGTAACAGAAAAACAAGTCAGATAATATACTAAAACAAGTCAGATAATAAATTCAAGGGATTAAAGAACATCAACTCGGGAACAAAATGAATGGAACATTGTGAGTAAAACTAAATTTTGCTAACTAGAAATTGGGAATATATATTTTTTGGCGTTGGCTAGAAAAGGCAGTTGAAATCATTTTCTATCCCTGTAAAGAGGTTTTCAGACTACCATGGAAGCATCTAATATAGATTACCACAGCAATCATCGATCTTAACATATAACATAGCTGGAACAACCTTCACGCTTATGTGCCAAAGACATAAGAGAAGGCAAGCATAAAACATAACAAAAGCAAAGATAATGACAATTAATCACATAACATCTTGGACCAAATCAAGTACTAAATTTAAATTATGATATTTTGACTAAAACTTTCTCAGCCTAGGAAGATATGTTGATTGAGGTAAAAAGTATGTGGCTCCAGAGCCACATCTGTTATGCAACAACAATAAGCCAAAACTGGTGAGTGTAAAAGTTATGCCAAAATAAAAAATAAATTTTGAACTCAGCATTCTGCTTGAAATTGAAATATATATATATATATATATATATATATATATATATATCAAAACCAAGTTAATCCAATGCAATACCTTGTAAATCTTGTGATAGAATACTTCAAGCAATCTAAGCTCAGCATTTGGATGAGACAATTCGACCTGTTTAAACATGCATTTGTAACGATCAAGAATGATAATAGAACACAACATATGGTCTGTCACAGCAATTTGATTTCAGATTGCTAGAGAATGGTTTTCCTCCTGAAATGATCGGTAGCTAGCTAACAGATGCAGTCATCATGAATAAGATGGAAATCAAGTCCTTTGTGAATAGTAATAGAGACAAAATCAAGGTACTTACCACCACCCTTGAAGGGTGGTAAAAGATATTCGAAATTAGCTTTTTTAGTCTAAAAGCAAGCTACTTACCACCACCCTTGCATATATGGAACTCAAAAAATGTTTCATGTAAATATGGAACTCAAAAGAAACACAAAGAACTCTGATACCACTTCTCTTAGATGTGGTTTCAGATAATTTAGATACAAGCAGTGTAACCAATATCAAAAGTATACCTTTGTCTTTATTTCATTAAGAACATCTCCAACAGTGCTCTGCTTAGGCAGCCTAATATTGTGAACTACAGGCTGAAACATGAAGATTTTAGAACCCAACCAATATTCCCATAATACATTCACAAAACATTGACAGTTCTAACTCTTCCTTGCACGAGGAAAAGCAACCATTTCAGATTTCAAACATACCTCTTCCTTGGTAGCATGGTGAAAAGCAACCTTTAAAGTTTTCAGACATTGTAGTTCAGGCAGAGGGATGTCTAACACTTCATAATACAGAATATCTGAAACCTGTATTCAAACAGAGAGAATGAGTCGGTTACAAGATTGGCATCATAATTGGTGAATAACTGTTCAATATGTTTCATCAAGCCAAACTTGCTTGGTGAAACATATATAACGTATACAGGAGAAACTTAAGAAATACGGAAACCTGATTGTAGTGAACTAGCATGTCTAGCAAATGTTCTGCAACCCGATACTTGATGGGATGCGGCTTGGGTTGTTGAGAATAGCAGTTGTGGGGAGTAAGCCTGATTTTTGACGGATCATCTAGCTCAAGTTGCCGAGCTACTCTCTCCACCACATCATCATATGTATGCAACTTTGACCTATAAATTCAGTTTGAAAATTTTGGTCACAAGTGCAATGTTCATCTAATAACACTGGTACAAGGTTCACAAAATAAGAAAGCTGAACTCACAATTCGAGACGGAAATCATCCTCCTTAGGTCTATCCAGAGATCGAAAATGAACTATCTACGAAGAGCACACAGAAGTGGTATTAGAATAGGGGATAAGCTTATCTCCTTAACATTCAACTGCAATGTAGAAATTCACATCGAACTTTATACATGAAGGCTAGATATGAATTTCCTTCCATTATGTACAATCTTACCTACCTAGAGCAGTATCAATTTACAGCTTAATCAACAAAAAACACTATTTACACTAATCGGCCTAATCCTCAAGCAGGTAAAACTGTCAGTGACTCAGATCAGTCATCATAAATAGACTATTAACGAGATCACATGTGATAACCCTGAAAAGTTATACACATGCATCTAATTTCATCAGCCACGTATGATTTTACCTACCTACAGAAGTCTCATTCTATCACATAGTTATCTAGCAGTCTCATTTACACCAAACAACCTGAATGCTCAGGTAGATCAAATTGTCAGTGACTTGGTGCAGCTTTCTAATATAGGCAGGCTATTTTACAACACAACATGCAGTAACCCCAAAAGAACTAAGATTTAAGCACATGACCTTTCTTCATACATGGTGGAAGTCGGTAAAACCTGTACTGCATATCAGTATACGTTGAAATATGAACTTTCAAGCAAGTTAAGTTCATGACTGTTATTAGGGCTGAGAACCATACAAGGACAAGAGGCATAGATCTGAGACAAGTGGAATGCTAATCAACATTGACTCAGCATCTTAAATTATGCTTCCCTATTCCCCGACACGAAGGTTAAAATAATGCACCTAAAGTTACCTCTATGACATGTTTTCTTGACACAGTAACGGAGCTGTATAAGAATTAATTTTTTTCACTGACATGATGTAGCTGACTTGAATCCACAAGGTTAAATATGGTTTGGCAGTGAATGTGGAGAGAACTTTCTGGATGATATAACATAAAATGTGCATCATTAAATCTACCAACACAGCCACATAAATGGAAAGGCATCCTAACGCCAACCTAGTAAATATCCAATAGCATGTTGGAAAATAGAAAAATTGGGAGAAACTAATAGTTACAATCTGCAAAAAACCATGGGACGCTCCTGACGTGACTTAACAACACCATTTCAGAAGTTTCTATGAAAAGACATTCAGATTGACTTGCATCAATATACATAGTTCGTACAAAGTTATAATTAAGGGAACAAACTGACAGGTTCCTCGGTTCCAGTTTGTCAATGGAGGAACTGATCCAAGATCTAAAAGTATGCTA